TTCCTATCAATAATTAAAGAACCTTAAGGCCTAGGAACTTCAAACTTGGTATGGTGATTGGTCATGACCAGTAGATGACCCCTATTGATTTTGGGGTCAAGGGGTCAAAGGTCAAGGTCACATTGACCTTAAAAGCAAAAACGGTTTCTGATCAATAACTAAAGAACCTTAAGGCCTAGGAACTTCAAACTTGGTATGGTGATTGGTCATGACCAGTAGATGACCCCTATTGATTTTGGGGTCAAGGGGTCAAAGGTCAAGGTCACATTGACCTTGTAGGTAAAAATGGTTTCCGATCAATACCTAAAGAACCTTAAGGCTTAGGAACATTAAACTTGGTATGGTGATTGGTCATGATCAGTAAATGACCCCTATTGATTTTGGGGTCAAAGGTCAAGGTCACATTGACCTTGTACATAAAAATGGTTTCCGATCAATAACTAAAGAACCTTAAGGCCTAGGAACTTCAAACTTGGTATGGTGATTGGTCATGATCAGTAGATGACCCGTATAGATTTTGGGGTCAAGGGTCAAAGGTCAAGGTCACATTGACCTTTTAATTAAAAAACGGTTTCTGATCAATAACAAAAGAACCCTTAGGCCTAGGAACTTCAAACTTGGTATGGTGATTGGCTATGACCAATCAGATGACCCCTATTGATTTTGGCGTTAAGGGGTCAAAGGTCAAGGTCACATTGACCTTGTAGGTAAAAACGGTTTCCGATCAATAATGAAAGAACCCTTAGGCCTAGGGACTTCAAACTTGAGATGGTGATTGGTCATGATCAGTAGATGACCCCTATTGATTTTGGGGTCTAGGGGTCAAAGGTCAAGGTCACATTGACCTTGTAGGTAAAAATGCTTTCGGATCAATAACTTAAGAACCCTTATGCCTAGGAACTTCAAACTTGGTATGGTGATTGGTCATGACCAGCAGATGACCTATTGATTTTGGGGTCAAGGGGTCAAAGGTCAAGGTCACATTGACCTTGTAGGTAAAAACGGTTTCTGATCAATTAACTAAAAACGCTTAGGCCTAGGACCTTCAAACTTTGTGTGATGATTGGTCATGACCAGCAGATGACCCCTATTGAGTTTTAGGTGAAGGGGTCAAAGGTCAAGGTCACATTGACCTTTTAAGTAAAAACATTTTCTGATCAATAACTCAAGAACGCTTAGGCCTAGGAACTTCAAACTTGGTATCGTGATTTGTCATGACCAGCAGATTACTCCTATTGATTTTGGGATCAAGGGGTCAAAGGTCAAGGTCACAATGACCTTGTAAGTAAAAACGGTTTCTGATCAATAACTCAAGAACGCTTAGGCCTAGGAACTTCAAACTTGGTATGGTGATTTGTCATGACCAGCAGATTACTCCTATTGATTTTGGGATCAAGGGGTCAAAGGTCAAGGTCACAATGACCTTGTAAGTAAAAACGGTTTCTGATCAATAACTAAAGAACGCTTCGGCCTAGAAACTTGGCATGGTGATTGGTCATGACCAGCAGATGACCCCTATTGATTTTGGGGTCAAAGGTCAAGGTCACATTGACCTTGTATGTTAAAACGGTTTCCGATCAATAATAAGAGAACCCTTAGGCCTAAGAACTTCAAACTTGGCATGGTGATTGGTCATGACCAGCAGATGACCCCTATTGATTTTGGGGTCAAGGGGTCAAAGGTCAAGGTCACATTGACCTTGTAGGTAAAAACGGTTTCTGATCAATTTACTAAAATCGCCTAGGCCTAGGAACTTCAAACTTTGTATGATGATTGGTCGTGACCTGCAGATGACCCCTATTGAGTTTTGGGTCAAGGGGTCAAAGGTCAAGGTCATGACCAGAAGATACTTTATAACCCTTATTAATTGTTTGATCACTGGGTCAGACGTCATGAATAATAACCTTATCACATGACTAATTGGCTGCTGATAGGGGGCATACATGTTTTACAAACATATCTTGTTATATTAAGTTTTCATTGAAATTAATTCCGAGGATAATAATGTAATTTTATAATTTGTAAAAGGCAGCCTAATTATTATTTTTTTAATGGGTGAATTTGTGTCAAACAGTATACACAAACTTTTTGGCAAGTGTAATGCATATTTCTCATGTCCATTTTCGACGGGGTTTTTACTGTAAAAAAACACAAACAAACAAGTGTACCCGTTTTTAAAGAATAAAATTGCATACAAATAAAATCTTATAGATGGTTTAAATATCGTTTTCTTTTATTTCTAAGATATGTACATGTATTTTATTTATGTCTTGTCTTGTATTCACACTCATCGACCTCTTACAGTACATGTACTGTAGCGTCAGTCATCATTGAGAAATCAGCACAAATGTCCTTTTTTATACTAAGTATCATATTTATGGCTCCCATATAGTTTAACAGCAATAATACTTTGAGAACCACAAGGAATGAAAAAGTAAAGATGACAGTGATAAAAGACGATTTCAGTTGTAAAAATATTGGTATGTGGACGAATAGTTTTATGGACGTTTATAACAAAAATATTAAAAACAACAACAAAAAAAGGACAGCGGTAATTATGCCGTTCAAAAAATTTAACGTATAATAACATTTAAGGAGACGATTGTGGTCAATTTTCAAGTCATTGTGTAAAAAAGATGACGTTAAAAAATAATAAAACGTCTATTATTTTTGGAGGTTAATTTATACTGACCAACTGACCTTGGCGTTCCCCCGCAGGAAACGGGTGATTGATTTTATCGACGAATGAAGAACGGTCGTCAGTATTTTGTCCGCGGTGGAAACAACTGAACACCGGGGATCGCGGGGGAAATTAGGCTTTCATCGCGGACGAACCCCCGCGTTTGTCCGCGATAAAAATAAATCGTCCGCGGTGGTATCGCAGAAAAAGCAAAACCCGCGGTGAGCGTACTGTAACCTTACACATGCCTTAGCATACAACATTAAGCACACAATCTGGAAATTACGGATACATTTCTGCTTTATAACTTCGACTTAATATGTATTAACAAAGTTCAACAAATAAGCAAATGGTCAGATAAATGGGCATAAAACTATGAAACAAGCTGGTGATAGTTACTTTTTATTTGCTTAAAATTGTTTCTATCATTATTTTGTAATGCAAAATTAATTAAAATCTATTTAATAGTTTTTTATTCTGCTGTATGTCTATATGTTAACTTAACATACAACTTTAAGCACACAAACTTGAAATTATGGACACATTTCTGCTTTATAATTTTGACTTAATATGTATAAACAACGCAATGGATAACAGTTTCAACTTAAATTTCAACATCTAAGCTTCGGAAGGAGCTATGTCTTTCGCACAACCGGTATCATGGCTGGCCAAGTGTCAAAGATGTTTACATAAAACATTTGAAAATGATATTTGCGTTAATATAGTGTACTGCATACACATGAAATAACAATGTGTTTAGATACCGTTAAAGATAAGATTAACTTTAAAACAATCATAACTGTTACAATAATAAATACATACCAGATTTTAACTGGTAAAAATGTTGTTAATTCTTATTCTCATTTCTCATAAACAGACTCATTCAATTCGACACTTAACAACTTTGTCGATAAAGGATGTAAATACGTTTGCACTTGATATACATGATATAAAGATGAATAGGCTCACAAAATTCTATTGAATGACAAAAGAAAATACAGCGTATCTAAAGATCCTTAATATAAACATATATTAAACAATCATTAAAACAATCATAACAATTATAAATAAATACTAGATTTCAACTAGAAGAAATGTTCCTTTTTCATATTTTATCATAAAAAGACTCAATCAATTCGACACTTTATAATTCTGTAGCTTTCCTGCTTCTGTGGGATCCACACTTTTCTATATTTTTATCATGTGTCGTTTGACAAAATGTAAACATTTCAGTGTCATTATATTGATTCCAGCACATTTAGTGTTGGGAATTGAAAACCGATTAGATTGATGCAAGTGGTCATGAGAATGTTGCACATTAACATTGTTCTTATCAACAGACTCAATGCAACAAAATCTGCAGCTTTCATATTTTTGTTGCTTTCATTGCTTCAGGGGGATCTCCCTTTTTACTAGGTTTATCCTTTTAATTGTTGGATAACTAAATATGAAAACCTTATGCATTACTGTTTCCAGAGTGTTTTCTTTCATGTCTTTTAAACAAGGTTAGCATAGAATTGTAAACAAACAACACCGTATTCTAAATTTTCCTTTATTGAATCAAATTATTATTACGACACATTTATAACATTCAACAAGAACAAGATCGACTTGAGATACAATTTTAGAACATAAGTATCAAATATGTAACAAGGTTGAATATTGCTTCACAGTTATGAATAACCAATCAGGTAACAGAATGCATTATTTCATACATAGTTTTGTTTTTTAACGCATATATCTATTCTATAATGAAATTGCAATATCATAACTTACAAAAACAAAAAAAATTAAATGTTATATTTCTATGACATTCGCATGATTTACTTATTTGCCGATATAATTCAAGCCAAAATAGCCGAATTTCTTCCTGACTAGATGTAAATACTTTTTTCAGGGGATATAAAGAGGGATAGCCTCACAAACATCTATTGAATGCCAAAAGAAAATAAGCTTGATATTTCCAAAATATTCAGCAGAAATGAATAATAAATAATAATATTATTTTCAAAATGATAATTAAACACAAACTTAATATGGATATGCTTTGAATTAGTGAAAACGCAGAAATAAATTGACAAATGATTCAAAGAATGTTTCATCGGCGCTTTACAGCTGAATGTATGACGAAATCATCTTTTCTATCTATTATACAATTTGAAAATAATATTTGGACAGTTACAGTGGTTAAATATTACCTTGAAGTTAATACTTGAAACTAAGAAAGAAAAAATCATAATATATTACAGTTACTCTATTTATTTTTCATGTTCATCAGCTTACAAATATATATTATTTATTTCATTTTTATTTATTTCAGTAGAGGGTCGTTATGAGGATGGTAAGTAATAAACTATATTTTTGTAGTAGCATAAAGATTTTTCTAAGTGTTCTTTCAAATGCGGCCTGGTAGAATTTGGGTTTTACTATGAATGTTTGCTATCAAGTTAGTTATTTAGTTTTTCATGTTCATCAGTTTAAAAATATATATTATTTATTTCATTTTTAGTTATTCCAGTAAAGATGATTTCTTCAGATGGTAAGTAATAAACTATATTTTTGTACTAGCATAAAGTTTTCTCTAAGTATTCTTTAAATCGCGGCCTGGTAGAATTTGGGTTTTACAAGAATGTTTGCTATCAAGTTAATTATGAGGAAGGGAGAACAAAGTTGATGATAACATCACAGTAACTAAAGACGCAGAAACATAATGCAAGGCAACGTTTATTAAAGCCGAAAGTTTTTGGCTATTTCGTTTTTGGCTTGAAACAACTTTACCGTAAAATCTTTTAAATTATTATTTAAAGTAAGAATAGAGCGTATCTAAAGATCCTAAATATAAACATATATTAAACAATCATTTAAACAATCATAACAATAATAAATACATACTACATGTACTAGATTTTAACTGGAAAGAAATGTTGCTTTTTCATATTTTATCATAAACAGACTCAATCAATTCGACACTTTATATTTTTGATGCTTTCCCTGCTTCTGTGGGATTCACCCTTTTCTATATTTTTATCATGTGTCGTTTGACAAATGTAAACATTTCAGTGTCATTATATTGATTCGAGCACATTTAGTTTTGGAAATTGAAAACCGATTAGCTTGTTGCTAGGGGTCATGAGAATGTTGTACAATAACATTATCTCATATCATCAGACTCAATTCAAAACAATCTGCAGCTTTTATATTTTTGTTGCTTTTATTGCTTCGGAGGGATCTCCGTTTTTCTAGGTTTATTCTTTTAATTGTTGGATAACTAAATATGAAATTAAAGCTTATACATTACTTTTTCCAAAGTGTTTTCTTTCGTGTTTTTCAACAAGGTTAGCATAGAATTGTAAACAAACAACACCATATCCTAAATTTTCCTTTATTTAATCAAAATATATTTACGACACATTTATAATACTCAACAAGAATAAGATCGACTTGAGATACAATTTTAGAACACAAGTACTTAATACATAACAAAGTTAAATATTGCTTCACAGTTATGAATAAATTAAAAAGATATTATCTAATCAGGTAACATAATGTATTATTTCATACATAGTTGTGTTCTTTAACGCATATATCTATTTTATAATGAAATTAGAATATCATTACTTACGAAAACAAATTATTTAAATGTGAATTTTATGACATCCACATGTTTTACTTATTCACCGATATAATACAAGCCAAAATAGCCGAATTTCTTCCTGACTAGATGTAAAAACTTTTTGGTGGATATTAAGATGGATAGGCTCACAAAATTTTTGCCATGGAATTGCCATGGTAATTTTGTCATGGCAAATTTTGCCACGGCAAAATGAAAAAAATTAAGATTAATAATAAATCTATAACAATGGCCCCAAGAACATGTCATAGGATAAGTTTTAGAATGCTATGTGATTTTTGTGTCACCTCTACGGAGTAGTGGCGACATAAAGGGATCACTTCTCCGTCGTCTGTCTGTCCGTCTGTCTGTTACGCACAAAACTTGTCCGGACTACTCCTCATAAACTACTGCAATTTTATCCAAACTTTACAGGAATGATCAGTACCATTTCTTGTTGTGCATATTGTCAGCATTTTCCGGTTCAATGATTTTTGTCAGAGTTATGGCCCTTTAATAATTTTTATTTTTAAAGTTTGTCCGGACTACTTCTCTTATACCACTAATGCAATTTCAATGAAACTTTACAGGATTGATCTGTAGCTCAAGTCCTTGCGCATATTGCAAGGGTTTTTTGGTAAAATGATTTTTGGCTGAGTTATGGCCCTTTGATAAAAAGGTGTTTTTTTCTGTGTGTTGCCAGATACACAAAAGCTTGTCCGGACTACTCCTCATAAACTACTGGTGCAATTTTATCCAAACTTTACAGGAATGATCAGTACCAAGTCTAGTTGTGCACTGTCCGTCTGTCTGTCTGTCACAAAACTTGACCCAACATAAAATTGGCAATGATGAGGCGACACATGTGATTACTGATCGCTCTTGTTTTAAAAAAAAGATTGCCATGGCAAATTTGCCATGGCAATGTAGGAAAAATCTGGCCATGGGAAAATATTTTTGCCATGGCAAATAACCGAAATACCATGGCAAAACACACTTTGCCATTGGAAATGCATTTTTTAAATGCATTTTTACAAAAAAGTAGTTAAGATAGAGAAACAACACATATTAACTCTTAAACATTTTAGTAAATATAACAATTTAAGATAGTTTTCATCTTTTTTAAACGCGTAAAAATAGGGATTGAATTTGCCAAAAACCGACGCGGCAAAAAGAAACCGGCAGCTATTATATATTGAATGCCAAAGGAAAATAAGCTTGATATTTCCAAAAATTCAGCAGAAATAAATAATAAATAATAATAATAGTTTCAAAATGATAATAAAACACAAACTTTATATGGATTTGCATTGTATAAGTGAAACCGCAGCAATAAATTGACAAATGATTCATAGAATGTTAAGCAATAAGATTTTATGCATTTGTGAGTTTGTTCTTAACGATATTTTTTTTTGGTTAGAATATCGTATCATTACTAACAAAACTAAAATAGCTTATAAAATTTCACTGCTTTGATAATTATGACTTTGCAAAACTTTCATCGGCACTTAACAATGTTTGACGAAATCATCATTTTTTATCTATTATACATATTGAAAAATAATATTTGGACAGATACACTGATTAAATATTTTCTTAAAGTTTATACTTTAAAAATAAGAAAAACAATCATAATAAAATACAGTTATTGTATTTAAATTTCATTTTCATCGGCTAACAATTATATATATTATTTATTTCATTTTTATTTATTTCAGGACCGAAGTTGAGCAGAGCTGGTAAGAATAAACTATATTTTGTAGAAGCATAAAGTATTTTCTAAGTGTTTTTATAAATAATAATAATAATAATCATTAAAACAATCATAACAATAATAAATACATACAAGATTTTAACTGGAAAGAAATGTTGCTTTTTCATATTTTATCATAAACAGACTCAATCAATTCGACACTTTATAATAATTATTATATTGATTTCAGCACATTGAGTGATGGGAATTGAAAACCGATTAAATTGGTGCTACAATTTAATCGGTGTTTATCAGGGGTCATGAGAATGTTGCACATTAACTTTATCTCTTATAAACAGACTCAATTCAACAAAGTCTGCAGTTTTCATATCATTTTGTTGCTTTCATTGCTTCGGAGGAATCTTCCTTTTTTCCAGGATAATCCTTTGAATTATTGGATAAATAATTATGAAAAGTTAATGCATTACTTTTACCAAAGTGTTTTCTTTCCAGTCTTTTAAACAAAAGAAGCAAAGAATTAAAAAATATTCTAAATTTTCCTTTATTGAATCAAAATATTATTACAACAATTTTATTACACTCAAAAAGAACAAAATCGACTTGAAATACCATTTTAGATCATAAGTATCAGATACATAACAAGGTTTAAAATTGTTTAACAGTTTTGATGAAATTAATGATATATTATCCAATCATGCAACAGAATGCACTTTTTCTTGCATAGTTTTTCTCTTTAACTGATATATCTACTTTATAATAAAATGAGAATATCACTACTTACTAAAACAAAATACATGTAGTCAATTGTTGAATTTGTATGAAATGCACATGTTTTACTCATTCGCCGAAATAAAACATGCAAAAATAGCAAAGCATGTTATTTTCAAAATATTCAGCAGAAATGAATAATAAATATTTTTATATTATTTTCAAAATGATAAATAAACACAAACTTAATATGGATACGCATTGAATAAGTGATATCGCAGCAATAAATTGACAAATGGTTCATAGAATGTTAAGCAATAAATTTTTATGCATTTGGGAGTTTGTTCTTAAACTATATTTTTTGGTTAGAATATCGTTTCATTACTTACAAAACTAAAATAGCTACAAATTGCATTGCTTTGATTTTTATGACTTTGCAAAACTTTCATCGGCGCTTAACAGCTGAATGTTTGACGAAATTATCTTTTCTATCTATTATACAGTTGGCAAAATAATATTTGGACAGTTACAGTGGTTAAATATTACCTTGAATTAATACTTTAAAAATAAGAAAGAAAAATCATAATATATTACAGTTACTGTATTTAATTTTCATGTTCATCAGCTTACAAATATATATTATTTATTTCATTTTTGTCTATTTCAGTACAGATGATTTCTTCTTCACATGGTGAGTAATAAACTATATTTTTGTACAATCATAAAGTTTTCTCTAAGTGTTCTTTCAATCGCGGCCTGGTAGAATTTGGGTTTTACTATGTATGTTTGCTATCGAAGTTAATTATGAGGAAGGGAGAACAAAGTTGATGATGACATCACAATAACAAAAGACGCAGAAATATAATGCAAGGCAACGTATATTAAAGCCGAAATTTTTTGGCTATTTCGTTTGTGGCTTGAAACAACTTTACCGTACAATCTTTATTATTTAAAGTAACAATACAGCGTATCTAAAGATCCTAAATATAAACATATATTAAACAATCATTAAAACAATTATAACAATAATAAATACATTCTAGATTTTAACTGGAAAGAAATGTTGCTTTTTCATATTTTATCATAAACAGACTCAATCAATTCGACACTTTATATTTTTGTTGCTTTCTCTGCTTCTGTTGGATCCACCCTTTTCTATATTTTTTATAATGTCATGTGTCGTGTGACAAAATGTAAACATTTCAGTGTCATTATATTGATTCCAGCACATTTAGTGTTGGGAATTGAAAACCAATTAAATTGGTTCTAGTGGTCATGAGAATGTTGCACATTAACATTATCTATCAACAGACTCAATTCAACGAAGTCTGCAGTTTTCATATTATTTTGTTGCTTTCATTGCTTTCAAGGGATCTCCTTTTTTCCAGGTTTATCATTTGAATTGTTCAATAACTAAATATGAAAAGCTCATGCATAATTTTTTCTTAAGTGTTTTCTTTTAAACAAGATAAGCGAAGAATTGTAAAGAAACAACACATATTTTCAATTTTCCTTCATTGAATCAAACTATTATTTCAACTTAATAACACTCAACAAGAACACTATTGACTTGAGATACCATTTAAGAACATAAACTTGTATCAGATACATAACAAAGTTTAAACTTGCATAACAGTTATGTCAATGGAATTTGAAAATATTTAAGGAAATTACAGAAAAGGAAAAGATTATTCTTACTAAAAAAAAGCATTATTCTTTCCAAAATGCTTGATAGAGTTAACTCCTCCTGTATACCGGTTAAAGTTATGATGGTGAACAAATGTGCATAGTTTCAAAGCCATATGTCAATGAACTTAAAAAAGATTTGAGGTATTATTAAAACTTCAACGTAAATTCTAAGTCGAGAAAGGGACATAATTCTGTCAAAATGCTTGATATAGTTCTCTCCTCCTGTCTACAGGTTAGAGTTATAATGGTAAATAAGTGTGCAAAGTTAAAAAGCCATATCTCATCGGATTTTGAATATATTTTAGGTATTACAAAAACTTTAACTTTAAGTCGACAAAAGGGGTATAATTATGTAAAAATTCTTGATAGAGTTACTTCCTCCTGTCTACAGGCTGGTGAACAAGTGTTTAAAGTTTCAAAGCCATATGTCAATGGACTTTGAAAATATTTGAGGTATTACAAAAACTGAAACATAAGTAGTTACGCCGACATCGACGCCGACGCTCGGGTGACTACAATAGCTGTACTTATTCTTATCGAATAAAATGTAGATCCACACACACACACACACACACACACACACACACACGCACGCACGCACGCACGCACGCACATATAGACACACACACACACACAGATATATATATATATATATATATATATATATATATATATTATATATATATATATATATATATATATATATATATATATATATATATATATATATATATATATATATATATATATATATATATATATAAAGAAGTTCCATTCCTTGTGTCGATCTCATGTATAAAAAAAATATGTTTTGGGAAATGCAGAGTACAAAGTTCGTTAAATTTTTATACGTTTATTTCTGTTAGCGCTTTCAAATGTTTTCACATATCTTCAGACAGTATATTTTCACATATATTCAGACTACATATATATAGCATAGCCACTGCTCATCCATCTTCACAAAAAATGATGGTTTCAGAACAGCTTGATATACAGTCACAAACTGCACTACACATTGAAACAGACTCAACATTCGCATATATAGAGTTTGTTCTCTGTTATCATGTCTCACAAATCAACGACGACATTTTTATTGTCTTCTTCACTGATTGGGACCAGAGAACTATATATCCTTTTCCGAAAGTCATCTGGATCCCGTAAGATCAAGTAGATCCGTAGGATACAATGAATTTAGACAGATAAAGTATCTATAAAGGGAGATAATTAAATTCAATGCAGTTACGCTGTGCCATTATTGGACTGGCATATCGATGTGGTGGTGGGTGTGTATATATTCTCTCATTTCGATAACAATTTATCTGCACACTTGTATCTTTATCTGGTCCCACGTAGGGGAAAGTATAACTGTATTGAATTTAATTTTCTCCCTGGATGGAGAATATGGACATAAATCTGTGTTTTTAATTCTTTGTGTGTTTTTTTTAAATATAAATGATAAATAATAATAACAACTAAAAACGAGAAAAGGATTTTCAAAAGACTGATCTGATCACTGTTGTACAAGATCTGTCTGTCGGCCTTTTGTTCGGTCATAACATTGTTTCCGTTCAATACTTTGAGAATGCATGGGATGTTTAAATTTCATAGGTTTATTGGTCTAATAGGTCAAAGCTATTGACTTAGGGGTAAATGGCTTTAAGGTCTATGTCACATTGACCTTATAACTCAATTAAGTGTCCGTACACTATATTAATTCTTAATTCAACAATCAATGTGCCTCAGCTTTAAAACTTAAAAGGTGATTTCGTCTTCGTCAGTACATGACCCATCTTGTTTCAGGAATCAAGGGATAAAAAGTCAAGGTCACAAATGGCACTGCTATGATTATTATGACTTAGCATATTTTTCATCGGTCCTTAACAGCTGAATGTTTGACGAAATCATCTTTTTACTTCATTATCAAATGAGAATATCACTACTTACTAAAACAAAATAGTTAAATCTTGAATTTGTATGTATGCACATGTTTTACTCATTTGCCGAAATAATACATGCAAAAATAGCAAGGTTGTTATTTTAAACCATTCAGCAGAAAAGAATAATTAATATTATTATATTATTTTCAAAATGATAAATAAACAAAAACTCAATATGGATACGCATTGAATTAGTGAAAACGCAGCAATAAATTGACAAATAATTCAAAGAATGTTAGTAAGCAATAATTTTTTAAGCATTTGGGAGTTTGTTCTTTAACGATATTTTTGGTTAGAATATCGTATCATTACTTACAAAACTAAAATAGCTAAAAAAATGCACTGCTATGATTATTATGACTTTGCAAAACTTTCATCGGTCCTTAACAGCTGAATGTTTGACGAAATCATCTTTTTCTATCTATTATACAATTTGAAACATATAAATTAATATATATAAAAAGTATTTAAATTTCATTTTGATCTGCTTACAATGATATATATTAATTATTTCATTTTAAGTTATTTCAGAATTGGAGTCTAACAAAGATGATAAGAAATAGACTATAATTTTGTAGAAGCATAAAGTTTTTTCTAAGTGTTCTTTCAAATGTGGCCTGGTAGAATTTGCGTTTTACTATGAATGTTTGCTATATAGTTAATTATGAGGAAGGGAGAACAAAGTTGATGATGACATCACAATAGGAAAAGACGCAGAAATATAATGCAAGGCAACGTTTATTGATGCCGAAAGTTTTTGGCTATTTTGTTTTTGGCTTGAAACAACTTTACCGTATAATCTTTATTATTTAAAGTAACAATACAGCGTATCTAAAGATCCTAGTAAATATAAACATATATTAAACAATCATTAAAACAATCATAACTATAATAAATACATACTGGATTTTAACTGAATTGTTGCTTTTTCATATTTTATCATAAACAGACACAATCAATTCGACACTTTATAATTTTGTAGCTTTCCCTGCTTTTGTGGGATCCACCCTTTTCTAAATTTCTATCATGTGCGTTTGACAAATGTAAACATTTCAGTGTCATTATATTGATTCAAGCACATTTAGTGTTGGGAATTGAAAACCGATTAAATTGGTGCTAGGGTTCATGAGATTGTTGCACATTAACATTATCTCTTATCAACAGACTAAATTCAACACAATCTGCAACTTTCATATATTTTGTTGCTTTCATTGCTTCGGAGGGGTCTAACTTTTTTCTAGGTTCATCCTTTTAATTGTTGGATAACGTAATGTGAAAACCTTATGCATTACTATTTCCAAAGCGTTTTCTTTCATGTCTTTTAAACAAGGTTAGCATAGAATTGTAAACAAACAACACCATATTCTATATTTTCCTTTATTGAATCAAAATATTATTACGACACATTTATAACACTCAACAAGAACAAAATCGACTTGAGATACAATTTTAGAACATATGTATCAAATATATAACAAGATTTTATATTGCTTCACAGTTATGAAGTAATTAAAAAGATATTATCCAATCAGGTATCAGAATGCATTATTTCATACATAGTTTTGTTCTTTGACACATATATCTATTTTATAATGAAATTGGAATATCATAACTTACGAAAACAAAATATTTAAATGTTATATTCTTATGACATTCATATGTTTTACTTTTTCGCCGATATAATACAAGCCAAAGTAGCCGAATTTCTTCCTGACTAGATTTAAATACATTTTTCAGTGGATATAAAGATGGATAGGCTCACAAACATCTATTGAATACCAAAAAAGTATTCAGCAGAAATGAATAATAAATAATTATATTATTTTCAAAATGATAATTAAACACAAACTAAATATGGATATGCATTGAATTAGTGAAAACGCAGCAATAAATTGACAAATGATTCATGGAATGTTTCATCGGCGCTTAACAGCTGAATGTTTGACGAAATCATCTTTTCTATCTATTATACAATTTGAAAAATAATATTTGGACAGTTACACTGGTTAAATATTACCTTGAAGTTAATACTTTGCAAATAAGAAAAACAATCATAATACATTACAGTTACAGTATTTAAATTTCATTTTCATCTGCTAACAATTATTTTTATTATTTATTTCATTTTAATTTGTTTCAGATGATGAGACGCTCAAAAGAGGTAAGAAATAAACTTTATCCGTGTAGCAGAATCATGTTTTTTTCCTAAGAAATCTTATACCTACGGCCTGGTAGAATTTGTGTTTGCTATCAAGTTAATTATAAAGAAAGGTGGAACAAAGTTGATGATGACATCACAATTGCAAGGCAGCGATTATAAAAGCCGAAGTTCACAGGCTATTTTGTTTTGGCTTGGAACAACTTGACTGTATATTCTTTATTATTTCATGTAACAATACAGTGTGTCAAAGATATAAAAAACAGCGTGTCAAAGATATAAAATATAAACAACAAATGGTTTAAAAACATCAATTTGACACTGTTTCACTTAATCAATTGTTTGACAGTTATCTTTGGCTTCACTCTGATAAAATGTACATTATTTAATCTTGAATACAATACAAAAACACTACATAATCTACCATTGCAACAATGAATTGTAAACAATTCTTTTATATAAAATTTATTGACCATTTAACATAATTTACCGGCACCTGGGTTTAACATCTTTATCTTATTTCATTTTAAAGATGCAAAAACCTTGAAAACCCTGTAACACATCTCTTTACTAAACTTAAAGTCATGAAAGTTTTCTAGTTCAAAGACAATTAATTAAACAATGCGCATGCTGTTTACACATTGATATTAGATACTTAATGTACAACCTTTTATCTAAAGAGTATCAATTTCAATGTAGATACTTAGTTTATGTCGGTCATAGGTTCAAGCCCCACTGGGACATGTTTTCCCTTTTTTGAAGAATTTTACACTTTTCGTTTTTTAAATAGATGTTTACATTCAGAAATAATCTTGAATAAAGAAAGAAATACAATTTTTTTGTGGGTTTTAGTGTTAAATGGGTGAAATAGGGTATTTTTACAACTTAAATTATTTATATTTCCAAATCAGGATTGAAAACCTCCCTCAGTTTTAGCACTATAATTTTAAAGGTGATTGGTCATCATATTATCGTATTAATTTATATATTTGATCGTGTAGAACAAACTTAAGAATTAAATCATCGGTAATTGCCCTTTCAAAGTCCGGTATAACACAGATGTAAGAATCGCTAACCGTTTTGCAGGTGCGATTAACGTGCATATATCCCTATGTAAAAATGAATTGTTGATAGTTCAAGATAACGATATTTAGCTGTGTTTCTAAATAATATTAGAATTTAAGTACATATTGTGTATGAATTATATAACAATATCGTTGATGGTGATCCATTTGTGGTCCACCATTATATGTTTGAACAATTATCACCAACAAATCACTTTTTACCTCCAAAAACGATTATGAACTCAACGATTCTAGCCCTTGTATGGTGTTCAACTTTTAAAAAAGAGTTAATTTAACAAAACATAAACACTACTTGCATATTTATATCCAACATAAAGATATCACTTTATTCCAACATGAATACATGTTTTACAACAATAACCGCTTCCTTTGATTTGATTTATCAAACATATCACTTTTTTAAGTGTCAATGCTCCCTTTAGTCATAATTACATGTACGTACATGTATGTAAGTCATCGTTCTCTAGTTTTCGTCACATTAGGCCTTAAATTGAATAAGACTAATAGCTGGACATTGGTAACATTAATGAATAAACATTTGACTAGATCTGAAATATTATGTTTTTGATTGGATGATTACCTTATATTTCGTTGACAGTATGACAGTCTTTATGCAATAAAATTGAGCGGGGTGTGGTCAGTGCAGTAATAATTTTCTTATTACCAATACAAAAATGAATTATCCTTTGGATAATAACCTGATTTGTTTGCAATTTAAATGACTGGCGGGTCTGATTGGCCCCTAAAAGTATGTTGACACCACTAGAACATGTAAAAAAACATAGCCATCACAGGTCATAAATTACGTAACATATAACGCGACAGGAGGTCAGATCCTTTTGTTCGCAAAGATCAATTAAGTTTTATTACCCTTTATGATGGGGCTCTTTCATAGCGGCATAATTATATTTCACAGTGAGAAAGATACCCAAAAACATGGTTAGAAAGATAAAATAAAGAAAGGAAATAATACTAGTCTGTAAATTTATTGAAATAGACGATGTTTTGATAATTTGGAAGTGAATAGCTCATATATAATGTAAGTAAACAAATTATAAATACGCCGTAAATTGCATAGTTTGTAACAGAAATTAGAGCCTTGGGGATGATTTTTGTCTGTTTTATTTCTCTCTTTCTTTGTATGTTTACAATCCAGTTGAATAATTGAATGGGTATTTGTGTATAAAAATTGGCGGCGTTTTTACGAGCTTAAAGTGAATAGGCCTATATTCGGCTGCTCAAACTAGAAAGCATAATAAAATTCTTATAAATTACATTTTTTCGCGCACGAGCCTATGTTCTCTCATTAGTGAGGGAGCTTAAGAAAGTAGACACTGTGGTGACAAGCAAACCATTGCTAAACATACAGTGAATCAGTTCAGTTCCCATTTCTATATATTTCTTGTCAGATTTCCATGACAATGTAGTATTTGTGTGCAAGTTCTTACGTCAGGTCTCTGTTGTGAAAGTTGAAACTTATGAAAAGTTTTAGCGCACGGACATCGCGCCAGAAATAAGAAGGGTAACATATTATTGTATCCCATCGGACATGGCCAATTTATTTATTTTTGAATAGCCTTGATATATACTCGCATCAGCCATATGCCGTCCTCCATGAACACTAACACATACATGGAAAACGACAGTAAATCATGATTATTAATAAATATTTTGTTTGTTATACAGCGGTTACTGATATTTCACTTTAAATTATTTTAATTGGCGATTAATTTAAACAATGGTTTGCTAGTAAAATTGCCTGTTTGATACCAACTTTGTTTTCACAATTCATTTAAATGTAGCTTTTAATCAGTAAGTTAATAAGAATAATCATGTTTTATAATTACCGAGTTAATTTCACGCTGATTGTTGGACGGACGTAAAATGTCGTCATTATGGGCGCCACCATTTTGAAATGGACGTCACATCAAGTCAGCAGGAAAAAATAAATTTTTAACATTTCGTTCATGATACTGACTTTTTGAAAAAATATGAGGTCATCAAAAATATGATGAGATATTGACGTCATTATTATGACATAAATTTAAATGATTTTACCATTACATTTAATGATAAATGAAATATTCAAATTTGGTGGGACAGATATCATCGGTATTTTCATGTTCAACGATTTTTGTCGGAGTTATTAATCATTTAATGATGTTCACTTTTAAAGTTTGTCCTATTTTTTCTATATCACTGATGCATTTTCAATGAAACTTTACTGGATTGATCTGTACCTGAAGTACCTGCACATATTACACGGGTTTCTGCTTAAATGCATAGTGGCCGAGTTGTGTCCTTTACGAAAAAGAAATATGTCAATACAAATTGTCTGAACTACACCTCTTAAACCACTTATGCGATTTAATGAAATTTACAGGAATGCGCGTTAGTTCAGGTACTTGCGCATATTGCACAAGTTTTTGACCGAGTTATGGCCGTTGCCAGCTACACAGAAGTTTGTCCGGATTTCTTCTCAAAGACTACTGTTGCATAATTATAGCCCTTGAATAAAACATGTTTTCTCTGTTAATTAGTGTGTCTCCTCATACGCAGTAGCTGCAGTGTGCAATCGAATATCACGAGGCGACACATTTGATCACTGATCGGTCTTATATTATTATTATTATTCACTTTACTTATTTGTGATTTTTAGCTCCCCTGAACATAAAGAGCTAAAGGTGAGCTTTTGTAATCACAATTTGTCCGGTGTCCATCGTACGTCAGTGTGTCCGTGCAGCCGTCGTCAGCTTATTATAATTATTTCGATTGTTACCAAAAAAGTATGTTATCATAAAGATGATACTGATTTAAAATTTAAAAAGGCATTAGCTGATAAGTTCAAGTCCACTGCTAGTAGACAATAAACTGATGTTTCAATTGTCATAAAGGGCATTGTAAATCAAGTAAGGATTTAACATTGCACAAATTTAAGCAAGATAATTAGGTAAACAACTTGGCAGATTGGTAAAATACTAGGGTGTCTGTTTGTTTGTTTGATACATTGATTGATTTCTTTCTTTCTTTGAGTTGAATTGATTATACCGCGCCGAACACTGTTAAATTTAGATTTAGATTGAAAAAGATTGCTAAAAGTGACTTAAATTTTAGAATGCAGGTTTATTGCTGGATATGTAAAGGTTAGGGTCATTATGAAGTTTCCGTCGTAATCGACAGAAATGAGAATATTGAGTGTTTGACTTTGAAAATTAAAATCTATTTTTTTTGTTCATTTTTAAATTTCATATAAATTTTGTTGAAATTGTCTGGAGATTTTTTTCATATATATATATTTATTAGACTAGATAAATGTACTAATGTATTCACCTACAATATTGCTCTGAATTTAGAATACAATATTACAACTATAAAGTGGAACACATATTTCAAAAGCATATATACACTCATTTGGAATTTAATTTTTTATTAAGGAGGTCGTTCTTAAAATAGAGACAACAATGAACTCCTATTTGAAGGTTCTCATTACGGCAAAAGTGAAAATGTTGCAAGTTTGGTATTTGATTTAGCTTATTCATGGACGACGGTACTGGAAAGAGCAAGCTACTGTCCACGTACGCTAGCACTGGCTTTAACAGAATTCAACATTTATCATTAAATATTATATTTAAAACATTCGCAATGTGTTCTTACGGCGGTACTACTGGAACATTCAATGTTACACTTTATGGCCATTCCCTGAAAATCGACATTTTTATAGAGCTTCGGAGATAATAAAGTCTGCGTTTAACAGATTAACAAATTTAATGAGAAGGCAACATATTATAAGGGTGAATAAACAGTATTCAAGTGCAGAATACTGGAACCACGGGAAAAAAACTTACCGTAGACGAGCAAACAACAAGAAAGGGTACAAACAAAAGTGTCAACATAACAGTTTGAAAGAAAAAAAGACATGCATCTAAGGAACAAAGAGGGGCGCCGCCTTGGAACGGTCAGCAGCATAAGCACGGTTGGGGAGTTTAAACCGGTCAATGGTGCACCAACCCTCACTCTTAGCCACATCATATTCCTTGTAAACGAGACATTGTAAATGAAATGAATCCCAAGCAAAATTCTAACAAATGCTATGGTTACCAAAGTTGAAATAAGTAAAACACAGAAAAGATAAAAGTAAAACTAATGACTATGACAAAAGTACTCAATGACTTAATGGCAGACAAAGCAACAAGAAAATCACATACAACTGCCCGACGAAGAAAACCATAACAATGTCGTGCTGGACGATCTTCAATAATCGGAAATATGCATGTTATTCCCTTGCAAAAGCTCAAAATAAAGATAATACACCATTATATTAATCGTTCCTTTTTGAAATACAAATGTACTTTAAAAATGATACACACGATCACTATCGAGTTTGAAGATTAAATGAATGTGGGCAATTTCAATTACTTAACGCTTTCGATAGCAATGCAAACGAAAAAGGTTCTTCAAAATCTTCAAACTCTCTTTGTAATTATCGTATATAATTCTAATGTTCTTTTTATATTTTATCTCATTTCAAGGGCAAATACCGCAGACATAAGTCATTTAAATCGTTTGTATTATTGATTAATTTGCACATATCGATGAAACATGATCGATCCTTTACGAATTTTGATGATTCAGAAGCATGTTTCTTTGACAGACAGCGTTGGTTAAATTAAGAACATTAATTGAAACTTTCTATTCATTTCGTCGCATGATAACAGATAAAAGTACATATGTTGATTGGATAACAAATGAATAATCATATATTTTAGAAACGTAATTAACATCATTTTAAGTAGAAAAGAAGCACTATTCATTATCAATTCTTGAAATATTATATAAATACATGAACTCAAGTCAGGTACATGGAAATCAGGAAATAATTAGGCCTTGCTTACCTTGGGGAAGGGTAAATAACTCAAAATAAGGTCGGTGATCTTTATATTTTTATTCGCTTAAAAATGTTTCTATTAAAATTTGGTAATGTAAAGTTTCAACAACTCTATTGAGTAGTTTTCATTCTGCTATATGTCTATATGTAAACTTAGCATACAACTTTAAGCATAACATATTGAACTTGTGTATGCATTTCTGCTAAAAAGTTAAGATCAAAACAATAGATAACAGGGCTTAGATGAATCTGTATCTATGAGTTTCGGAACAATGTCTTTCACACAACCGGTATCATGGCTGGTCATTTGTCAAAAGTGTTTTAAAACGATTTGCGCGTTAACGATGTGGAATGCATTAACATGTAATTAAAATGTATTTAGGTACCGTTAAAAATTTTATTAACTTTAAAACAATCATAACAATAATAAATACATACTAGATTTTAAATGTTGCTTTTTCACATTTTCTCCCATAAACAGACTCAATCAATTCGAGTCTTTACAATTTTGTGGTTTTCATTGCTTGTGTGTGATCCTTCCTTTTCTTTATTTTATGCTTTAGCAGAAGGTGTCCCGTGTCGTGTGACAGGTGTAAAAAAACTTTCCGCATTCATTTCAGTGTTGTTATATTGATTCCAGCACATTTAGTGTTTGAAATTGAATACCGATTAACTTGGTGCTAGGGGTCATAAGAGTTGTTGCATATTAACATTATCTCTTATCAAAAGACTCAATCAAACGAAGTTTGCAGCTTCTATTACTATGCGTATGCATTACTTTTCCCCATTTTTTTTTGTCTCCATTCTTTTAATCAAATTAAGCAAATAATTGTAAATATCCAACACCATATTCTAAAGTTTGCTGAATTGAATCAAAATATTATTACACTAGCTTATAACACTCAACAAGATCGACTTGAGATTCAGTATCAGATACATAAAAAGGCTGAAAGTTGCTTAACAGTTATGACGAAATTAAAAAAAAATATATATTATCCAATCAAGCAACTGAATACATTAATTCATACATAATTTTGTTCTTTCACACATAGATCTAATTTATAGTAAACTGAGAATGTCGTTACTAACGAAAACAAAAAAGTTAAAGATTGAAAATGTATGACATTCATGTTTTACTTATTAACCGATATAATATACGCCAAAATAGCCGAATGTACTTCATGCCTAGATGTAAATACTTTTGCATTTGATATATATATATATGAATAGGTTCGCAAAACTCTATTGGATGCCAAAAGAAAGGAACCTTACTATTTTTAAAATATTCAGCAGTGATGAATAATAAATATTTATATTATTTTCAAAATGATTATTAAACACAAAATTAATACGGATATGCATGAAATTAGTAACTAAGCAGCAATTAAATTTTATGCATTTGTGAGTTTGTTCTTAAACGCATATTTTTGTTGGAATATCGAATCATTACTTAGAAAACTAAAATAGTTAAACATTTCACTGTTATGATAATTATCACTTTGGAAAGCTTTCATTTGCGCTTAATTAACAGATTAATGTTTGACAAAATTATCTTTTCTATCTGTTATACATTTTAAAAAATAATATTTGGACATTTATTTTGCTTAATATTACCTTGAAGTTAATATTTTGAAAATAAGAAAGAACAATCATAAAACATTAATTTAACAGTTACTGTATTTAAATTTCATGTTCATCTGCTTACAAATATATATTATTTGTTTCATTTTAATTTATTTCAGAATTTGAGAAGCTCAAAAGAGGTAAGAAATAAACTATATTTTTGTAGTAGCACAAGGTTTTTCTAAGTGTTCTTATAAATGTGGCCAGGTAGAAGTTATGTTTAAGTATGAATGACTCCTTTCAAGTTATGGGAAAGAGAGAATAAAGTAGATGATGAAATCGCAATAGCAAAATACGCAGAAAACAAATTCAAGGTAACGTTTATTAAAGCCGAAGTTCACTGGGCTATTTTGTTTTGGCTTGAAACAACTTGACTGTATAATTCTTTACTATTTCATGTAACAATACAGCGTGTCAAAAGATATAAAATATGAAAATTTCAGAAAAGCAATGTTGCCGCATGTTAAAATCTTACATTATCTTATATTTTATAAAACAACTAGAGAAATTAACGGAATGTAGCTCCACGCTACTGTTTTTTTCTCCCGTGGTTCTCAGAAATAAAAAATCTCAGCTTAATCGAACCTGATCAATAAATGCAACCTAAAAAGAGTTAAGATGATGACTGATTATCCAAGCTAATTGTTTCGGAAAAATTAGGCCGATAAATTGTCTGCTAGCAAAATGCACCCAATGAACTTAAAAGTCATGTTTGGCGAATTGTTATTAAATGAACAGAGATATGTGATTACAATCATTGCAAATATTCCTAATTAAAACATAGATTAGAATAACAAAATAAGGTTTCTTTGAAAAAGTGAAACATAATTGTATGTTTTGCTCAATGCATACATGTTTTAAATAACAGTTAAATATAAATAGTACTTACATTTAAAGTTAGATCAAATACATGTACAAAAAAGATTGTTATGATATATTTAGAGGTTTACTAGACACGTCTTTGTTAATTTTCTTAAACTAATGTTAAATATAAACTTTAGCTTGCACAAGAAATATCAGCTACAATGTGGTCATTAACTTTAATTTATAAAGAAGCTCAACCCTGGTAACGGTGTAAACAACGTTCTTTATTTTAGATGCGCAAAGAATAGAATAGTGCACTAACGAACCATATTAAAAATAGCATAAAAATACTGTCAACTGTAAAATGTGAATAACTACTTGTTTGAAATGAAATGTAAAACTATTATAGCAAAGAAATCAGCAAAAAACTTTATCTATGTATGTCGTGAAATTTCACCATATACAAACTTATTATTCAGAAATATTATTACTCCTGAAATATATTATTTACCTTTAAGTTAATGTAATTTACTCCTTAAAAGATTAATATTCTTTTTTTTAAACTCCTTTAAAATATGAAATATAATGCTCCTTTTATTTTATAAGAATTGTGTTCTTATTAAAATCATGATTTTTTACATCTCTTTGGCGGGAATATTTACTTTCAATGCTTGAGAATTTGTTCAGTTAAATTAGTTGCACTTAAACACTTTTGGAATCTATTAAAGCGTTTCGTTATCTGTAAGAAAAAGTTAAAAGTAAATAGTGATAATCTTCACCAATGTATGAACACAAAATTCGGATAAAAGACTTAAGTTTAAGATCAACAAGGGTCTAAACAACATGAAAAGGGCACACATATTATATTTTCAGTATGAGTACATGTTTTGTAGAACTAAAGCAAACACATAGCAAACCTTTATTGTGTTATATGCTGGTTTCATCACCTTACATGTTTCACGAGAATCACTGATATGTACCTCTTTGCCAACTCATTATTTCAAAATACATCGATGAATGAAAGAACTGCTAAACAGACTTTGCCATAAATCCACTTTTATGGCAAATTAAAATTATTTTCTATCTATGTGTGACATTTACCTGTTACCTACATATAGACCCTTTCATTTAAGCGATAACAGTCAGGGAAGAGTTACTTCCCTTACCGGATGTGACGTAAATGGGGGATAAAACTATGCAGGCCGCATAGAATGTTAGCTTATTGAAAAGTTAAATGCGTAAATACTGATCGTTCAATTATGATTATAACATGTAAAAATTTACGCATGCATACATAAATTCAATATCAAGACAATAGAAAAAAATACAAAAACAAAGATTGAGATTAATTCTCGCTACGGAGTGAAACAGCGAAATTTCAAAGTGAATATATTTATTAGATCTAGATTTTCTCTAATGCCAGGATAAAAAGCTAGTAACTAAATCAAATTTTAATATTTTATAAACACCCATACACACTGAAATTGCCTATTATAAATTTAAATGGCCATTTTCTAGTTTTCTGTGTTATTTTCTGTCATTTAGAAAATTCCGGCGTATTTGTGACAAACATGAAAATAAGATTGCCAATGTCTTTTAATGATTGTTTTTCAAGCTTTAATAGAAAAATAACAGAATGCATTCTGTCAATACTTACTGGTTTTTTTTCATTATGCCGAATAAAAAATATTTTAAAGAACCCGTGAAGGATAAAATTTTATAAATATTCCGGAAAGAACGAAAACCATGTGGCATTGACTTTTATAATTTTAGATTTGCAACAGACGATAACAGGTACGTATATTAACGTACCTGACGATAATAAGATAATTTTAAAATTAAAAATCTATTCTTATGGTTACAAAAATAGAGACCTTTTCCCAGTAACTTATTTCATAGATAAATAGACGTGTACATGTATAAATAAGCGCCACTGGGCCGTAACATATTAATTAACAGGGTGCATATGTTGTATATACAAGCGGCACTTGGCTGTGATATCATAAATCACTAGGGTGCATTTTTTAAAGTTATAACATTACATCAGATTACATCACTTTTGTTAGTTGTCAAAATATTTATGGTCCTAATTTTGTTATGGATCATCCTAGGGACTTTATTGGTCATGCCTTACTGATTTGATACTCGATCCAGAGTCCTACCAACTGGCACAGTCAAAAAATACGTAAAATTATATTTCATTTAATAACGAATTTCTGTAAACGTGTTTCACAACTTGTTTTTGTTTTGTTTTTTGTGATTTTCTTTTAATTATTTGATAAGCAGAGTACGAATTAAAAGTATCAAGCTTAAAATATTACTTAACCAGCTTAAATATATTGGTATGATGTACGATTGTTTGAGAGTGCATTTTTGCCGACACAAATAGTATACAGTCATATACATTCAAAAGAATTTTTAGTTTTTATGCCTTTACATTTTGTTTTGAAATTACATAGATTTATATTGTTGTTTTTCTCTGTCTTAGTAATGCTTCCATCAAAATGATTTTTAATAAACAGTATCTTGCTATTTATTACGCAGTCGTTTTTCGAAACTACAGAATCCTTACATTTTTGAAACTCAAAATATCATTTGGGTACTGTATATTAGCAGACACATTATCTATATCTCTGGTATTAGCAAATTAGTACGATATAACTGCCTGGTAAAATTGCCATTATTAAGAATCTAACGAAAATGGTAATCATGATCAGTTACCGAGCCATAAGGTCTACTATTAAAACAAATCGTTAACCTTATTATAGTAAACATTTTTATTCATTTCACCATCCTTTTATGTAATATCTTATTCAATAACACAAAATTTTGGCAATTTCAATCTGCCAATCTTATAAGAGAAAGGATTAAGATCTTTATATCTCTCTATTATTGTACTTAATCGTATCGGCATTGTCCTCCGTATCCCCCAATAACGTCATCCAAGCGCGACAACTTGAATACGGTCTTAAATGAAAGGGTCTATAGTGACTCCTTTTGCAGCACATTGTTAAATGTGCTACATATGTGTGAACATAATTTCAAAATAGATCTGCAAAACTTAATTGTTACTCCTTGGCTGTTACATACGAATGGCAAAACATTTGCACATATTAAACACAAGTCTAAAATTTTGTTTTAACGCGTATTTATTCTTAACAAATTGTAAAGCTATGACGTACTTTCATAGAAAAAATGAAATGATCAGATATAGCATTTATTGACATGGATACTTTTCTAGAGACTGTTCAAAACTGTTTCAAAAGGAGTCACAACAAAGGATATTGACAACAAAATTCATTATTTTATTTAAAATGCAAAATATGAAGATTATTTAGAGAAAAGGATTGAGAAGCAAAAATATAATTTAATATGATAGATAAACACAAAATTAATATGGAGGTGCAATGAATAAGTGAATTCGCATCGATAAATTGACAACTTGTTCATTGAATGCTAAGCACTGAATCAATACTTTTTGTACATATGTGAGTCTGTTTGGCTGAAATAACCAGACATCAGTATACTTTATCCGTGATATAAAACCCATATCAGTCATAGTTTAACACTTACTGTTGGAGCGATACACCATTTCTTAATTTGTCATTAACTTCCGTTTGTTCTTTAACGCATACAGTTAAAATGACACTGCATGATAATTATGACTTTGCAAAACTTTCGTTTGTGCATAAAAATAACACTCAGCAACATTTAAAACGGACGTTCAGTAGCTTTGTCGTTTTTGCTGGAAGCAACTTGACTGTATATTCTAATATATTAATTGAAATTATAATAAAAAAATGTTTATTTAATGTATCAATTCAGCGTTTCAAAAAATTAATTATTTAAACATATGTTTTAAAAATTATCAAATCGACAGACTTTCATGAAATCAATTTGATTTGACTGTATTCAATCTTGTACAATAAAAACATAACAAAATCTACCAAAGCTATAATAAAAATAATGCAAGTCTTAATTTAGGTTCTTATTTAAACATTGCTAAGCGGATTTTTATCTAAATCAAGGTAAATAACTTAAATCGTTATTTATTTCTAATGACTTATTCAAGAAGAGTTTGAAAGTCTCCTCAAAACATTTTGAATTATTCTTATTTACTTAAATGATTTCTACTTTTCTTGAACCATTTAAAATGTCACCACAATACTAATCAATCAATCAATCAGCTTAATCGAAATACGCCAAAATTATGTCCATGCACTGCTGATTTCCGTTCAGATATTTTGATTGACGTTACCTTAAGGTTAATGTTAGACCTACATGCTTCTTTTGCAACAATGTTTCTTTGTAAACTTAATAAATGAGACATCCGAGG